TCATATAATTTGTTTTAAAAACAAAAGAAAGCCCAATTATATCCTATAAATAACCACCGGTTTAATTTAAGTAATGCGGTTCAATTAACTATATGTTTTGTATTATTTGTAACACTCTAGAAAGGGTCCAAATTTAAAGGACAACTTATATCAGTAGATAAAAAGAATGACTCTATTTTAATAGAGTAGATACTTAATATACACTTATCTTATCGTAACTATTAAATAGGATCCTCCTTGTATGTTTTTGTAACTTATTGGTTGGGGAACCTAGGATAAATTATATAAGAGTCTGAGTGAACACCAATTGGTCAACCCAATAATTACTCTGAGAGCCTACCCTCTGATCCTTCTTACTTTCTTTTGTGATTCATCCTCTGCTCTTCTACATCTTTGATTGTTGCTCAAAACACCTCCGAAAAGACTATGGAGTCACTAACATAAAATCCCACATCCCCCTTGTTTTAGACCTTGACGAATGCAACTACGATGCTGGAGAGAGAGTTGTTCCTGATGCACTATCTCACCTTCGATGTTCTTGGCCATGTGGACGGAGTGAGCCCAACTAGAGATGACGATGATGCTTAGCATAAGTGCAATGAGATTGTGAAGCTATGGCGGTATGGTACTCTCACACAATCGTTATTCAAATTTACCTTCAAGAAAGGTGGGAACACACATGATGTATGGACTCGAATTGAAAATCAATTCAGAAACAACAAAGAGGCGTGATGCAGCTGGAAAGCGAGCTTCGCAACAAGGAGATTGGAGATCTATCCATACATGAGTACCGTCAGGAACTCAAGTCTGTTGCAAACCTACTTGCCAATCTCGACTCACCAATAGTTGATAAGTCTCTGGTAATGTATATGCTAAATGGTTTGAATGAAAAGTTTGACTATGTGCTTAAAGTGATCCAGCACCAGAAGCTGTTTCCATCTTTTGAAGACGAGAAAAATATGTTGGAGATGGAGGAGACGAGACTAAAGAAGACTCACAAGGTGACTGCTTCCTACAACAATCATGCCTCTTCTTCAACTGCTCTCATTGCGACCGATCTTCCAAACCAACCACAATCGCAGAACCAATAACAACAGCAGTACAATAACTCAAGAAACAACAGCTGAGGAAACATAAACAAGGGTCGCTACAACAACAACAACTATCATCAGCGACTTGCATACAACAACTGGACACCTCTGCCATACTGGTACGGATCGTACAACAACAACAACTTCCATCCTCAGCAGAAAACTCCATGGCAACCTCTTCCACAAGGCTTCCACGATCCTCGCCAGTATGCACCACAAGCTCAATCAGCTCCGGCTCAAGCCCACATGGTTGACACATCTATACAGCTGACACGAGATTTTGCTGAGGCGTTTAACACCATGACGCTTGCTGATGCATCTCAAAATGGCTGTTCGTGAACACCGGAAATTCCGTCACTGTTGGCAAGGGTTCTTCCGTACCAGTACAGTCCACTAGTTACACTTATATACCTTCTCAATCTCGCTTGTTACACTTGCTCTTGTTGCACCTAATATGAAAGCTAGTATTTATTAAATAAATAGAATTTTTATATCTAATAATATTTTAAATTTTAAGCTTCAAATCTAAAATTTAAAATTTAAATATCAAAACTTGTTGATTTTCTAAACATAATACACTTTACTAACATATTTAAACTACAAAATGAATTATTAAAATTATTGAAAAGTTGAAATTTTCTTACTTGTTTTAACCGAGTTCGGTCGTGTGTCAGTAAAATGAGCGACGGGACTCGTCGGTGGGTTATCACAAAGGTGTAGATCTAGACGAACCGAGTGAAAGGGAGATTTTATTTATAAACGGAGAGAGTACAAAGAGAATCCCGGCGCTCGGGAGCTTTGCCGGGATTACGTTCGGGTTTTATTAAGACAACGGAATAAACCTAACTATTTGTCCTAATCTATGCCGCCGTCTCTATGTCAAGTTTCGGATCCCTCGCTCGTGCTCCTTCCCCTCCCTTTAATAGTTCAGACTCTTTGATCTTAACCTAGGTCGTTCTCGGCTCGTGGGCCTCCGGTATTGGGCCTGCAATCGGCTCGATAACGCCTTTCCCTGCTGGTACGGACGCCACTCGGATATAAGTGAGTCTTTTTGTCCTATTAACTGTTCACCCTTGCCGGGCCGAATGTGATTTCCCGTGGGCCTTGAGGGGTGGGTACGGTCCACCTCCTACATTACTGATTATTTAGATATGCAGTGATTGCATTATCAACAATTGATTATATTTAATCAAAAGATTAAAATCTGTCATCCTTGATCTTTAAGCCTAACACCATCATTTGACAAGAACCCGTAGAGCCAAAGATGATCAAAGTGACCAAGCTAGAGACAGAGAAGTAGAACCAGGGCCAACAAACGGAAATATTTCACTACCCATGGTGAAGATAAGATAACAAAAGAAGAGACAACAGCCACATAGCACCCAAAAAAAAGGAAGAGAGGCCCATATAAAACTCTCGGCCAAAGCAAGCATAGTCTCAGGGTCGTGCCTGAATAGAAGAACATAAACCATGTGCTTTGGGACCATACAAGATATATATATATATATATTTAGGGAGCCAATATTATCATAAAATTTACATATCTACTGGTAAAGAATCCGGGATGCGTATTAGAGGTGTTGTGTTTGATGCACTAAACTGTAACTTTATCCACTTTTTCTGATTTTTAAAGACAAAGGGCCAAAAAGCTTTTTTGCTTGTGGGTGGAGTTTTTCAAGCACGGCCCTTCATAACCTATACGAGAAGACACATGAGACTTTCTCAGCCAAAACAAAGTTAAAGCGTGGGAGGATCTTTGAATTCTTATAACACCAGCTAGACAACACGACCTAATGCCTTAGTGGTACATCCACCAATGACAGTTAGTGATTTCATCAAAAAATGGGATTTTGAGATGTTTGAATTCATTTTTCCAAGAGGGTATACTACTGATTCAAATATTGGCCATAATCTGTAGCAATCATCGAGATACATTTACTGGAGCTTCAGAAAAGTGGCCAATATATTGTCAAGTCTAGATACTATGTAGCAAGTAATATCTTACAGAATGAGAAATAGATTGTTTACTCAAAGTCGAGTATCGCTATGTTTCAAACCTTTGTTTGGAAAATGAATATTCCTCAAAAGATGCTCCATCTTATATGGAAGCCTATAATTGGCCACACAATGGTAACAAGGAACCTGATACATCATCGTATGCAATGTGATAACCATTTTCTTCAAAGTAAGGATCTTGATAAGTCATTCATTCATGTTATTTTTAAGTGTCCACTCTTACAAGCATGGGCTTTATCAGCCACACCATTGAGCCCCGACATTTTTTCAATTATCGAGTGTCTATGAAAATATTGAGTATCTCTTATGGGGGAAAAAGAATATTGAGAACTCGGAATTGGATAGTGATCCGCATCCTTGGATAATTTTGTACCTCTCTAAAGCTCAAAACGATAATTTTTTCAGAGAATATACAGAGATCCTTTGGAATTAATCAGATATGCGAAAGGAGAGTGCAAAGCTTGGTTCTCATCTAATGTGGATTTTGCTACAATGACACATCCACAAAGTAATTCTTATTCACAAGTCCTATCTTTGGAGAACATATGTTTAGTAGATGGATCGTGAGCCTTTACATCTCAATTTAGTGGATGGGTTGAGTTTAGAAAAACATTTTAGGTGATGGGAATCAACTTTGCACTCAAAATTAAGAGCTTTCATTTGTGTGATAGAAAGTATGATGAATCTTTCAGATTGCCAGAATTTTGCAACGGATTACAGGAACTTGAATACTATGATTGCAGATCCTTATGCATGGTCAAATTTCTCAACAATGCTTGATACTATAAAGACTTTTTCCAAATACGATTCGAGCATTCAAGATACCATATACTTCTCAGACGAAAAATACAATTTTTTCTAGATTTTTTTCAATAGAATTGTAAGATCTTTTTAGATCTTTTCATAAAAAATTTTTTTATTGCTTATTATATACATGCAATGTGAGTAATGGAATGATTCAATCATTCCATTACAAGAAAAACAAAGAATTCTATTAACCACCGGTTGAGGGGTAAAATTATCATTCCAATAGTAGCATCTTATGCTTTATACATATTTGTAAATTTGTAATTTGTTTTTTGAGAAAACAGTAATTAAAACCCTGAACTTTAAAATTAAAGTCAATAAAACCTTTAACTCGTGTTTAATCCAAAAAAATCTTCAACTTTCAAATATTGACCTTTTTAAATCTCATATTTTGTTGATTCAGCCATTTAAAAAAACTAAATAGTCAACACGATTATAAAATAGATGTATAGTTAACTCTGTAAACAATGTTATTTTAAAAAATCAGTCAAACAACGCTGTTTTGCTTCTTTAAACACTTAAAGCATCTCTTTCGCGAAACTAGAGTCCAAAATTGACTTCATTTTTCTTACTCGAAATGAGGAAGATGAAGTCAATTTGAGGTTCTAATTTCACGAATATGATGCTTTAAGTGTTTACAAGCGCAAAACGATATTGTTTGATTAATGTGTAATCAGTTTTTAAAATTATGTCGGTTAAAGAATTAACATACATCTGTGTTTGTAATCGAGTTTAACAGTTTACTATTTAGATTCTTTAAATGTTCAAATCAACAAAATACGAGAGTTTAGAAAAATAATATTTAAAATTTGATGATTTTTTTTTGTTAAACATGAGTGAGGGAATTTTTTTTTTGCTTTAATTTGTAAATTCATGGTTTTAAATGTTTAATGGAAATTTTTTTTTTTTGCTTTATATCAATAATAAATACGTAAAGCCTCCCTGTAAGAAAGAGTCTCTCTATTCGCGTGTATATATGTATACATATATTAAGCAGAAAAGAAGAAGAAAAAAAAACACAAAAGGTCTCCTAGGGTTTGTTTGATCCAAGCGGAAGAGAAAATCCACAGAGAGAGAGAAGAAGCCATGGAAGAAGCCTTGATGAGCGCTTCCACAATCGCTGACCAGCGTCAGAAGATCGAACAGTACAAACTCATCCTCTCCTCTGTTCTTTCCTCCAACGACCTTCTCCAATCCAAACACTTCATCAATCACAGTAAGCAACGAAACAAGTCTCCTCTCAAATCTTTCTCGATTTTTTTTTCCGTGTGACAATTCTCAATAGCAATAATATTAATTGCAGTTCTGTCCGATGATGTTCCTTTGGTGGTTACGAGGCAGCTCTTGCAGTCTTTCGCGCAAGAGCTCGGGAGGTTGGAACCAGAGACTCAGAAGGAGATTGCTCTCTTTACACTCACCCAGATTCAGCCCAGAGTTGTCTCCTTCGAGGAACAGGTTTTGTAATTTTTAGAAATCGTATGGTTTGTCTAGGTCGACAAGTATGTATGTGATTGGTCTCAATGATGATTTTTTTAGAGTAATTGAGACAATGTACATTGTGTTGTTTTTTTTACAAAATATGCTTTGTTGTTTGATTCGTAGGCACTTGTTATTAGAGAAAAGCTTGCGGCTTTGTATGAGTCAGAGCAGGAGTGGTCAAGAGCTGCTCAGATGTTGAGTGGCATTGATCTTGACTCTGGAATGAGGTATGATTGTGACGAGGGCAGTTTTTTTTTTAGCCCTGGTGTTTTTTTACAGCTTTGCTTATTTTTTTTTTGGATTTGTGTCGGTCTTTCATCAGGGCTGTTGATGAAAACTTTAAGCTCTCAAAGTGTATCCAAATTGCTCGTTTGTATCTCGAGGTTTGTCTCAACTTTCCAATTACATTTTGTCTCCATTTCATCAGTTTTATAAGCGTTTAGATCGCATGATTTATGAGATGGATTTGCAGATGGTTTCCTTATGTGTTGGTACTTCTATAGAGGTTACAGAAGTTACTGAAATTTAATTAGTTTGTTGACCAAATTTTTGTTTCATGAAACTATGAATTTTCGGCTGTGTTAAGAGCATTACTCTGGTTCACAACATCACTTGAATTGTAAACCTACCATGGTTGTATTGTTACATTAGTTTTTTCTAATACTTTTTTTTTTTAAATGTCTGCAGGATGATGATGCTGTAAATGCAGAGACTTATATAAACAAAGCATCTTTCTTAGTGAACAGCAGTCAGAATGAAGTTTTAAATTTGCAGTACAAGGTTGGGCGCCACCTTATATTAAGAATTTAAGTGCTGAGTGACTAAGGAGCATTTGATTTTGGATGTTAACATATTTCATATACAGGTCTGTCATGCTAGAATTCTGGACATGAAACGAAAGTTCTTAGACGCTGCACTTCGGTACTATAGCATATCTCAGATTGAAAAACGCCAAATAGGGGATGAGTAAGTGAATCGGCTTCTCTCCATGCATTATCAGTTTTCAAATTTATCGTGTTTTGGTTCTCGCCCATAAGTTTTGTAATGTTATAATGTTTCCTACAGGGAGATTGATGAGAATGCACTAGAGCAGGCCCTGTCTGCTGCTGTCACATGTACCATACTGGCTGGAGCTGGTCCTCAGCGTTCTCGTGTTCTTGCAACTTTATATAAGGTAAGTCTATGTGGATTATTATTAGAATACCACATAGGGCTGCTTCCTTTCTATTATTTTCTCACTATCTATCTCTTTGTTAACAGGATGAGCGCTGCTCCAAGCTTAAGATCTATCCCATCCTGCAGAAGGTTCTATTCATTGTTTCTTCTAGACATACATTTACGTGCATTTTAACATATAGCATCCAAACAATCTCACCACAGTCTTTAGGAGCTTGCTAGAACTACATGCTAACTTTAGATTGTTATGTAAATTTCTAGGTGTATCTGGAAAGGATTTTAAGGAAACCAGAGATTGATGCTTTTGCGGAAGAATTAAGGCCACATCAGGTACGACTTTTTATTGAGATTTGGAAGCAATATTTGTACACTAGACTTATTTGTTAGATTCACAACAAGTTTTCATTCTAATGGTTTTCAACAGAAAGCAACTTTGCCTGACAAATCCACTGTTCTTGACCGTGCCATGATTGAGCATAACCTTCTGAGTGCAAGCAAACTTTACACTAACATAAGGTAAAAAGAAGATGTAGAATCAGTATCTTGTACCGTTTTTATGTGTTTTTGAGACTTTGGCTGATTTTCTAAACTCAATTCCTTAAATGTCTACTATCGTAGGTTTGATGAATTGGGAACTCTGCTGGGAATTGACCCAAGCAAGGTAATATTCAAAATCAATATGTGAATCCTCTCTCATCCTTTTGCTTCTCCTGTGTTTAATGGCATACGTTTTCTTCCTGAAGGCGGAGAAGATAGCATCCAATATGATTTGCCAAGACAGAATGAGAGGTTCCATCGATCAGGTTTGCTCTAACACAGACAAAAATGTTGTTAGTGTTCACTATCAAGAAGCTGCTTACATAAAGTTCTGATTCGTTATGTTTTATATTAATGTCCAGGAGGAGGCTGTGATACATTTTGAAGATGACATTGAGGAACTTCAACAATGGGATCATCAGGTTCGCTCTTTCTCCCTAGCAGATATGTTTTTTCATGTGTGTGGAATAATGACTGAACTGTGGAATCTGTTTGCAGATATCGGGATTATGCCAAGCTCTCAACGATATTCTGGATGGGATGGCGAAGAAAGGCTTGCCTGTTCCTGTCTGAGGCTCGTCTCTTGAAGTATTGTTCAAGTATTAGCCGAAGAGAGCCTAAGTTTTTTGCAATATGCTGTGTCGGGGGACGATTTACATTCGTTATAAGATTTGACTTTTGGCAACTTCATGTCTATTCCTTTAGATTAATCTGATATTGAGAAAAAGATTTGGCATGGAATGAGGATTTTTAAGAACCATTTGGAGGTTTTCATTACATTCAAAGGAGATATTTCCCTCGCAGAACAAATTATTTTTCAAGAGAATGACCAAAATAGTAGACACGTGAGTAACGAAAAGCTAAGGGCGGAATCTGTTCCAACAAAAAAGATTTGCAAAAGGTCTAATAAACCGTTTGTAACAGGCAAACAATTTAGGTAGGAGCTTGAATAAATCGTAAAGGAGATTACATTTCAAGGTTCCATGTTGTTTCTGCGGTCAGTTTAGGCGTTTTCACTTCCTCCGCCAAATTCACAGACGCACATACCTGTTTCAAAACAAGAAAAAATGCATCAAGTTTATGAATCGGTCGTTGCTCAAGAGCAAGGCACAGAACACTCTAAGCACCCCCAATGGAACTTTCTATTTGTATTTACAGAGTGCTTATATAATACTATCACATAGACTGTAAACCACCGATATGATTATCTGAAATGTTCTAGGTTTTCAAATTTGTTCTCTCTTATCAAATCAACTGTACCAAGTCTGAAGTAGCAGAATATTAACCCCACAAGGTGTGACTTGTATCTACACAATTGGAATGAGTTGTGTTTACCTTGAAAGATCCAGTGGATTTGGAGCTCCTTGACCACTCCACACCAAGCAACTTACTAGAAGTTTGATAAGTGGCTTTCACAACATCATCCCCATAAACTCTCCTAGAAACCGCAAAATCCCAAGCGTTCTTGGCAAAGTCGTAGCAGGGCTCGAAAGTAGCAATCCTTCCGTGTGCATAAGTGTACTTAAGCTTACAGTTGTTGGTTCCCACCATGTAATTAGCAGAGACTTTGTTAGCGGAATCAAGCACAAGGCTCCCATCCACAACGGTTCTGTTATCACCTCTGCTATGAATGTAAGTCAGATTCAACGGCTTCTCCGCAACCCTTACTGTGTTCATGAACTGAAACCTAACATCCTGTACCCACAGAAACAACCATCCTTAAGAAAGGCCGATATTGGGCCAAGACTGATGAAACATTCGTTTACTGTCTCTAAATTTTTTGAAAGAACCCTCCTTAAGCAGGGCAAGTCTGATGAATCATTCGTCTACCATCCCACAATTTTTGAAAAGGTCCCAAAATTTTCCAATTTATAGAAAAAGGCCACCAAATCTATAAAAACAACTTTTAACTAACATTTTTACTAAATCGTCTAAGCCCCAAAATCTCAGGACCGGTCCTGTCCTAAAGCAAATTGATTCTATCTTAGGTTTAATCGTATCCATGGAAAGAGTAAGAAAAAGTTTTACTTTCTTAGGGACGTTATACTCGACGATGAAGAAACCAGGCTTCTCCACGGCTAGAGAGAGGCCGTTCAAGGTTGGACCAGCGACGAAGGTGGCATCGGTCATGGTGGCGCGTAGCTTTATATCGCCGGCGTTGAAGGCGAGAGAGCCTACTCCGGTGCTCTTATCGCCATCGTACTTGCCTTTGACGGAAGCCTTCATCATCGTCCTCTGTTTTGACTCACTCTAGAGAGAGAGAAAGAGTTTAGTGAGAGAAGTTTGGTGAGAGCGGCGAATAAAGGAGAAGATAAAAACACCGGCAAGTGGTAAGGTTCGCACGTATAAAAGGCTCTCGCACGTACGCTGATTTTTTTCTTTTTGGTTTTCCTTAAACCCTCATCATCTTATCGACGGTTTAGGCCTCCTTTGTTCGAAGAGATTTTGGTTTATAGTTTTTGGGTTTTCAAATTTATTATTTTTAAATTACAGTATTACTATGAATGTGTATTATAATGTAAATTAATTGGAACTGAATCTTACATATTAAATTTACATAAATCCCAAATATATAATTATGTTTTTTCTTAATAGATTTTTTTTATTTGAACTTTACATGGAAACATAACCGGTCCTAGACATATGTAGGCTATAAGCCAAAAAAAAAATGTGGCCTTTAAGGTTCAAATTCATGACTCATCAAACTAGTAAGAGTATTTTTACCAAGTAGATTAGAGGAAATTTTTGACCAAAAAACGGTTGAAATAATATTTAATATTTGGCGATCGGAAGCATGTGTTTCACCCGCTTCTAGACCGCCTCTGCATGCAAACATAGGTTTATTTGTTACATGAATACATATTTCTGAATTTTAATAAAAACATCTTAACAGAAATATTTGATCTACAACCCATTTGAACTATATATATATATATATATATTAGAATGGTCAAAAAAATAATTCTCATTCTTAATGAAAGAGAACGTTGATTAGCTATATATTTATTTAAAATGTTTATAATGTTGGCTTCTTAAAATAACAATGTCAATTTAATTTACAAGCCATTTCCCAGTTATTTCATTGTTTTTATAATGTTCCATATAGGGATGGATGTTTGGATATACGTTCGAATCGGATCAAATATTTCAGATTTTTAGTTATTTTAGTATATAGGTATAGAATCTATTCGGGTATTTATATATTTCGGATTGGATTCATGTATTTCAAGTTACTTAAAAACTCATGAATCAAAAAAAAAATTATGAATCAAAATAATGTATACGTTTTTAGATAAATTAATATAGTATTAAATAAACAACAACAAAAATAAGTTATCAACCAAAAATGAGAGCATCAAGTACTCAAAGATGAAGAGTAGTATTTTACCAAAACAACCATTGAAAAAGTGTGTATCCTCCATAAAATCAAAATGTGTGGATTAATTAAAGACAAAACTATTAAATCCATGACAGCGATCGAGTTAGATTAAGTGTAAACTATGAAAATGAAATAAATGAGTTTAAATTATTATGGATTTAAAGCTAATATATATATATATATATATATGTTTGGATATTTTGGGAACCCCTTCGGGTATCGGTATTATCCATTCAATATATTATATCAAATCGTATTCAGACCTTTCGGATCAAATATGGTTCCAGGTATCGCGTAAAATATCCAGCCCTAGTTTCAAAGCTCTCTAGTACCCACAAATATTGTGTTATTTATTTCAAATATTTGCATGTTTGGCGTCCAATAACCAACGTGATGAATGACACAAGACCATATTAGCCGAATAAATTATTTTGGGATTTCAGAAATTATTAACACATACATATTAATTTGTAGCAAATATTAGTTTTGTAATCTTGTACTATTATTTTTAGCAAATATCATAAAGATGTGTTAATGTCATGTCATATTAATTGATTTATATATATAACTCAAAATTTTAACACTACATAAAATATAAATTTGATAAGGATGTAAAGATTATAGCACCATTTGGATATTTATGAATTTTGGTTTGGATTTGGTTTGGTTATTTAGAAATTCAATTCGGGTTCGAATAATCCGTTTAAATTATTTTTAACAATTTAAAATTTATATAACTTTAATTTTTTCAACAAATAAAAATAATATATCAAATAAATTTGAATAGTGTATAAAAAATGAAACTTAACATATTGAGTTAGCTTGAATATTTAGTTGGATAATCAATATATATACATTAAGTATTTTCTTGTTTTAAAAAAGATATTGTTTAGATATTTTAAATATTTAATTTTAACTATTTGTATAGGTTTTTACGTATTTTGTACAACTTCAAATATCTTATATATTTTGGATATTAAATCTAAAAATAACTGTTATATCTAAGTATATAAATATAATTCATATATATTCGCATATCTGAAAATTTTTGGATCGAACTTGGTTCCAGGTTTTAGATACTAAAGTTCTGAATGCGTTATAGTATTTAATCAGTTTTCTTCAGGTTTGTTACTATTTTTTTTTAATTACATTATGTTTGGTTCTTTGGATTCAAATTTTTTTACCAACCCTAATATGGCTTATCATGTATATTTTGTATACGTATCAATATTTGAGTAGTTTGAATACTTTTTCTTAAATGTAACTATCTACTCAAAAATTGTAGATATATCTATCTTATTAAATCATAATCTTTCCCATGGACCCACCTTTTTGTAAAATTTTAAATTAAATACACACTTCTATTATATAGTTGATCCACTCAAATTAATTATACCACAACACAATAGTTAATTTTGTATTCAAACAACATAAAACATTAGATCATACATTTGTAATAATATTTTTATTTATTTCGTTTTCAATGATTTGACTAAAATAATTAATTTATTTCTGTAAATATTCAAAAATAAGTAACTATACATTTTTTACGGGTTACTGCAAAATAATTTATTTAATATAAAAATTGATTAACTAAATGGATTAATTTATTTATATTTTCATAAAAATAAAATTTCAATCATTTAAAATTAATAAAGTTTTCTGATTAGATTCTTTCTAGATTGTCTTTATTATTAAGAAAATATAATTATTAATGCGAGATTATCTTTGGTTAAGTTGACATACAATTAGTTTTATATAAATACAATGTTAGAGTCAAAAAATTGACATAAACTAAGTTTTATAGTTTAAATTGATCAAATAAGTATATATCATACAATTAATCAAACCAATTACATATATTTTATTAAATATTTACAACTAACATGTTGAATAATATTTTTTAAAAAAATAAGTAATATAGAATTTTCATATGTAATCTAAATAAATAATATAATGATATATTTTTCAAATAAACTAGAATTAAAATGTTTAAACTTTACTTATAAAAATGTTAAAATATATTAATTTGGTAAAATTTATTTTGTTAAAAAGTATTTTTGCATTTTAAATGCGGATCATAATCTAGTTTTACAAATTATGTACTGTGAGTTTGAACTTTCACATCCATATAACATGATATTTCACCGATTAGAATTGCCAACATATTTATTCTGCTATATACTTTATATATATTATGTATATGCATCAAACATTTTATATTCCAAAATAAATGAGTTAAATTGCATTTACTTCTCATAAACTGAAATAAGATTGTGTATGAAATATGTTATATAGTCTTTACATAATTTCAAACCTAAACAAATAAATTACTTTTAGTTTTCATAAACTATAGATACAAATGTACATTGATTATGTTGGGATTTTATAAAATTAAAACAAAAAATTCATTATGATTATTCCATAAATAAAATAAAAATATGCATGACCAGAATGAAATTTCCACTTAAAGTTAAGTCTAAAATATCAAATTATGTAGGGGGGATGAACGTGAACCTGAACATTTGTATTTTAGGCTAAAGATCATGAAAATGATAGATAAATTGATTGCAAACAAGAAAAATCATATCAACCAAATTTCATATAGATATAGTTATAAATTATTTAAAACATGATACACTGTACAAAACGATTTTATAGATTTTTTCCCTAATTGTAAAACCATGATAAGAAGATTCATAAGCTGATAATCTTTGTGAGTAGCAAATTTAGGTAAAATAATATTTCTGATGATTGATGAACAGATGTCATGTTGTGTTTATTTTTAGATGAGAATCTAATGAAATAAAAAAGAGTGAATTGGGTAGAAATCCATAAGAAAATGGGAAATTAGGGATTTGCCATTTTTGGTGGGGAAAATAGTAATGTGTGGGGATGAGAGATAAAGAAAGAAATAGGGTATGGAGTGAATTATGAGGTTTAGTGTGTATATGGAGTGCAAATACTCAATAAAAAAAGGCAAAGAAACTGAAGGCAAAAAAACAGAATCAGAAAAGCAGAGTCCAGTTGACGACCAAAGTTAAATGGCAACTAGTAGGTAGGTAACAGCAAGAAAGAAACCAAAATCTGTTGGTTTAGTTCGGTTTCGGTTTAGTTTAAATTCAAAAATCAAAAAACAAATAAAAGAGGAAAAAAATTAAAAAACGAGGGACGTGTGAAGAAGCAAAGGCTAAGAAGTTGCCAGCTTGCTGTCTCTTGTTCAAGATTTTAATTTACGGTATAAAAATTTAAATAAAAGTTTTTTGTTGTTATACGTTGATTAAGGCTATAAGCTATTCAATTCTCTCCTCTTTGGAAACTGTTCTTATGACTGACCCCCTTCATGACCATTTGCTTTCTTTCTTTATTTTTCCTTTTTATTAGTATAAAAAAATATCATATTAAAATGGAGGTGATATTGTGAATTAAACATTTGCCGTCTCTTCCTAATAATCCTCTTTAGAGCTTCCTCTTCCTCTCTGCAACAAAGCGGTAGGTTCTCTTCTCTTCTCTTCCCCCTTCTTTTTCATTTTCTTCTTCTTTAGAGTCTTTCTCACCCTCAAGATTGTTTAGATCGGTTCTGTTTTTCTTTGCTCTTGTGTATCTGTTTTTTTTTTTTTTGGTTTGATGTTGTTCTTTCTTGGTTTTGTTGTTCTTTTTTCCAAGCTAGATCGAAATCGGTTGGTGGGTTTCATCTTATTTTGAAGAATTCAGCAGAATCTCTGTTGGGGTGAAACCGATTGTTATAAAGTTGGCTCCTTTAGATGGGTTTTAAGGTCCTGGTGATAGCATCTCAATAGATCTCTATCATCTTTGTTTGTTTGGGTACAAAAGCTCTCTTCTTACGATATGTGATCTTGTGATTCTGTCTTTTGAGCTTGTGGATTGTTTATTTGACTATGCTTTATCTTCAAGCTGTGGCCTTTCTTTTCCTTTGCCTTTACCGATATGTTTGCTTGATCTTGGGACTTTGCCATACTTGAACTTCTTTGGTTGTTGATTTGTCAACCTCTATAGATGGTCAAATTGATAGTTAATTAAGCTTTTGTGAAGGCAAAGTTGAAGTTTTTATTTTTATTTTGCGTGTTTGTTAATATGAATTGTGTTTTTGCATCTGCTTCTAAGTGTTTCATCTTGTTAAGAACTTGTCATCTGTTTTTTTCCTAAAGCATTGCCTTTTACTTCTCCAACTCATCTATGAGTCAGTGAGCTTTTAAACCCTCGTGCTCTTCTAAGTGAATAAAGCTATTTATGATTTTTATTTGCAATTCTCAGGATGCCATTTGTATAAACAGTTCTAGGAATTATGTGTAGTGTGTTTATGACTTCCTTTTCACAATTAAGCATTTCCTATGACAATCATATTGTGTCTTCTTCGTTACTGAATGATTGATTTTACTGTGTTTGTCCTTTTGCAGTCTCCCCATCAGCTACATTGTTGAGGAGCAAAGTAAAGTCTGGTTGCGTCCTCTTCTCCCAAGTGTAACTGTGGTTAAAGTTTAGCCGAGATGCAGGGAGAGAGGGCCAGTCTCGGCTATTTATCAGAGGCCTTGAACTTTGAGCATGGTTCTACCTCTAGTAATGGTGTGATAGACCACTGGGAGAATATTCACGGTCTTGGTGATAACGACTTGCAGGACTACATGATTGCAAATTCTGAATCAAGTGCATCCCTCGCAAACTCTGTTTATCCCGAGCAACATGATTTACATAGGTTTAGCCTCGGCGAGGCTAGCTCTAGTGGCACCAAGAATGAAGCCTCCAGTCACAATGAGCAACGAAGAAATGAAATAATTGATTTAGACTCAGATTCTGAACAACCATCTGCCCCCAATCAACCTGTTCAGAGTGTCAACCTGAATGCAGAATATATTGAACTTGACGAGGATGTTAATCTGGTTAGGGATAGGTCTGACTTCTTTGAAGCTAACGGACCAGGGACCAGGGTTTCACAACCTGGCAGAGCTTTTGAAGAGAATAGTGTTAGAACAGGCTCTTCTGTTGATGGGCGTCGTACATCTTGCAAGAGAAAGGCTATTGAAGGCAGTTCTTCTTCAGGTGGTTTCCATCACGGTGAAAGCAGTTCCTGGACTCCAGCTACTTCTACGGATTATAGACCAGGAAATGGTCTAAACATAAATGGCTCTCTTGACCATGGTCCAAGAGGTGGACAGGTCTCTGGTACTGCTTCAAGTTTTCTTGTTTCTGCAATTGCAGAAAGCTCCAGGAGTAATCCTTCAGAACAACAGCAAGAAACTGTAAACCCAGCTGCTGCCTTTTCTGCGGGAACTGTTGTCAGGCGACCTGTCCCTCCATCCCAGTCAAGACTTTTACCCGGAGATCAACAACATATGTTGGAGTTAAGACATGGACTTTCTTCAGGAAATGTCTTTTCCCGGAACCCAAATCCTCCTGCTATGAGCATACCACCTGTTTCAAGGAATATGCTACCACCGTTTCAGTGGACTGAGAGCTCACTAGCTGGTGAATCATCCAGCTCTACCGTTCCCACTGAGAGAAATCTTCATCTAGATGAAACCAGGTCAAGAAGCATATCAGGGAGTGTTCTAGAGATTCCCTTGTTTAATCCAGCTCCTGAACTCAGGAATGTATCCGGAAGCAGAAATGCAAACCTGAATATTGCATCATCATCATCAGTGTCCAGGACAGGCTCAAGCACAGGTGTTCAAGCACCATCTTCTAATCTAGCGTGGACGCCTTACCAGCATTTACCACATCACCAAAGAAGAAGATCTGAACTTGCACGTAGGTCATTGATTTCTTCTCTTTCCGTAGATGCTAGATCTGGTGGTGATCATCATCCAACTCTTCGTTCGTTGGCTCCTCCTGCCCCTCCGGATGGACTTGTGCTTCAGCCTGGTGGTGATAATAGCCAGATGCATAATCGGGCTTACTCGAGAGCAGGTCTGTGGCTTGATAGACAAGTGGATAGTTTGGTCGGTGCTCCTCCTCAATCTTTAAGGGCCTTGGCAGCTACAAGCAGAGGAAGAAACAGACTTATGGTATCCCAGGTCAGCTCATACCAGTTCTGTTGTCATGAAACGGTTAACTTTGATGGTTTTTGTTAAGCTGACAATAAGTTTCCTCTTTGCAACAGATGCAGAATATCTTGGATGTCATGCGTAGGGATCCAAATCATAACTTGCGGCTTGAGGTTAGAATAAACCGTTAGGAGTATTGCGAAGTTAAACTTAAAATTGGACTTGCCTTGTAGATGAACTTAACTAATAATCTGAATGGGTTATTTGTTCAGGATGTAATGCTTCTAAATCAGTCAGGGATATTTGATGGGGCTGCTGCTGGTATGCATGACCGATATAGAGACATGCGACTTGATGTAGACAACATGTCATATGAGGTAAAAGAGCCATTAAAAAACCATACAACCTTTGTGGTAGAAAAGTCCCTTACACTCCTTTGGTTCATAAAAAACCTTAGGAACTTTTGGCATTAGAAGAGCGGATTGGAGATGTTTGTACTGGTGTAAACGAAGAAACTATATCAACCCGGTTAAACCAGAGAAAATACAAAAGCAGCACAATCTCTCCACAAGATGCAGAGCCATGCTGTATTTGTCAGGTTCGAGTTGCCTGCAATTATAATAACAATAATAATTACATTTTGGGGTTGAGTATGAATGGTTTAACTTGTTTGCAGGAGGAATACACCGAGGGAGAAGACATGGGGAAGTTAGAATGTGGGCATGAGTTCCATAGCCAATGCATAAAAGAATGGCTGAAACAGAAGAATCTGTGCCCAATTTGCAAGACGACAGGCTTGAACACAGCCAAGAAGCGGAAAATAGGATGAATGAGAGCTTTTTCTTTTTCTTTTTGTATTTGTTTTTACAATTCAGCTTATGAACAAAAAAAAATGAAAAGAAACAAAAAAAGACACCCTCAAGCTCCCACCATTGCAGAGCCTCTCACCGGAAATGCCTCTCACAGGGAAGTTGCTCCCCTTTTGTTTGTTCTAGTATAGTCTGAGTATATGCATTCATATGATTTGAAGATCATGATTTGACTGGTACAAAGGTTTGTGACTAAAGGAAGAGAGAAAAGGGTGATATGGAAATGTTGGGAGAATGTAATTGTTGTTTCGTTTCTGAATTGGTATGGATAATTTAATTTACTCATTTGTCAGATAATATTTTATGAAACCACTGAAAGAAGCAAGAAATTGAGCCAGCCGGTTTCGAGAATTCCTTTGGATAATGACTATATTCTGAAAAGGCCATCGTCTATTGTCATTGTGTCTCTCTCTTTTTATTTTGGCTAAAACTATGAAAAGAACTTCAAAATACAAGGCATTTTTTTTTTTACTTCCAGAGGCAAAAATGCTTTGCCAAGCCTTTGAAGAACTCCAACATTTGAAACACTAAGCGAATCTCGTATAAACCATCCTCCGTTAATTTTCATTTGTACGTGATGAATACAATGCATTATTGTGTGTTATTGGGCCAAATCTTTCGAAGCCCAAGTAGAATCCTGCACACACAAAAAGGAAACATGTAGTTAGGCCATCTTTATCCCACAAACCCATTAGAGGGTTTCTTAATAGATAATTTTTTTTATTTTATTTTACTTTTTATCTGTAAAAAAAAAAAAATTTAAAACGCACCAATCACGGGCCGCCATGTGTCGATGGGGCCCGCAAACAGTGGAAAAACCACACAACAAACGTCGCTTATTTTGTATACACAGAGCACGGTTTTTATGAAAAGTGTGGGTTCTTCTTTCATATATATACACTAAAAATACAGCGTTGTTGATGCTCTTAGTTTCTTGTTTTGTTATGTTGGTCAAAAGACGTGATACAAAAACAACAGGGAATAGGAAAGTTAAGATGGTGATGAGGTTATAAATAAAGAGGTGACCTAGGTTTGTAAGGGCATCCGATTAAGAAAGAATAAGAGCTAGAGAGATTAAGTTTCATTAGCAAGAAAGAGAGAATGTTCTTTTGCTATATTGTAATCTCTATTGAGTTCTTGAGAAACCGTTTTCTTTGAGAGAATAAAGACAAGGTTTTGGTATTAATTTCTATCTAAGTTTAAGCACTAAAAAAGGTTTAATTCCCAACAATTATACTTGTGGAAATATTTCAGACTTTGTATGTGGATGCATTTAATGATACAAAAACCTTTATAAAGTAGATATTTAGAATGATCATACATTTTTTGATCCAAAAAGAGTGATCTTGTTTTATTAGTATACTAGACTTGATTTGACATGGACGTGTCCATGTCGGTAACTTTTCATTTTATAAATGTATAACTTTAATATTATTGCAAATTTTTTAAATATATAATTTACATTTTAGGGTTATGCATTGTGTAACTCTATAATCTTATTAGTTATGTTTCTTATTAGACATTATTAATATATAATGATTTGTTTTATACATTTTTATTAATTTTTTATTACATAGAAATATGAAATAATCAAAATAAAGAATCTCCTTCATTTTTTTATTTCTACTGTTTGCATACAATACATTTTAAAAATTTATTAGTTATACATAGAAAGGATATGTTTTTAGGATAATTTATAATTCCATGTTGTGTTTAAATCATTTTAGTATATTCTGGGATTTTATAAGTAAATAAAATTTTCAGTTAAGTAATTTAGCAATATGATTTTAGTAGATTTTATACACGGAGTATCTTTCATATTATTTTTCGTATATTTTATCAACATATGATATTTTGGATGTTATGATATTAATTTCTATATTTTCTAGTCATTATATAATTTGGCTGGTACAAAAGTTTGTGATAGGCAGATGTTGGGAGAATGTAACTATTTTTCATTTCTAAATTGGTATGGATAATTTAATTTACTCATTTGTCGATTAATATTTATAAAACCGTTGAAAGAAGCATGAAGTCGATATTTCCTAAATAGAAATGTTATATTAAATATATCATATAATATTAGAATAATTAAATATAAATAAAAAAAAAAGAAATTATACAATATAAAAATAAAAATATGACATTAGATATTTAACGTATTATTCTCATTTGATATAAAACACGAAAACTAAAATAAGTAAATATATAATATAAAAAATAAAAATTACGTAAATATAAAATATAAGAAATAGGAAAACTAAATTAACATCTATCTGAAAAATGTAAAGTAAAATAAATAATAAATAAATATATAATATAAGAAATAGAAATAATCCATTGAAAATCTATCATAATATTATCATTTGATATAAAAGCAAAAAATTAGAGTAAGTAAATATACAATATAAGAAAAGAAATATTACATTAAACATCTATCATTAGAAAAATCAAATATACAATATAAGAAAAATAAATAATAAGTAAATATACAATATAAGAAACACAAATATTACATCAAACATCTATTGTAATATCATCATTTGATATAACATAAAAATAAAAACATATAAATATTCAATATAAGAAAAAAAAGTAAATATACAATATAAAAATATAAAACTAAATTAAACATCTTTCGGAAATGTTAAATAAAATAAAAATAATAAGTAAATTTACAATATAAAAAATAAAATAGTACAATAAACATCCATCATAATATTAGAATAAGTAAAATACAATGTAATAGACAATAAATAATAAGTAAATGTACAATATAAGAAGTAGACAAAATACATTAAACATCTATCTAAAAATATGTAGTAAAATAAATAATAAGTAAATATATAATATAAGAAATATAAATATTATATTAAACATCTATCATAATATTACAATTTGATATAAAAGAAAGAAAATTAGAATAAATAAAAATATACAACATAAGAAAAACTAAATAATAAGTAAATACACAATATAAAAATAGAAAAACTAAATTAAATATCTATCTGAAAAATGTATATTTCTGGTTTTTTGAAAGAAAATATGTGTACTTTGATACGTTCTGATATATGTTACTCTTTGTGCCATTATTTTTTATTTCTAGAAAAAAATAAATGGTTAGGCACCCATATTACCTAGGTTAAACACATGAACAACAACAAAATTCAAACATCGCAAAAATGCTCACATCAACATTAATTTTAACTTAAAAATGTGAAAACTTTCTATCACGCATATCATATAAACAAAGCACTCATGTACTCACACACACATACAATTTATAATACAACGTCTAAAAGAATACTTATATAGTTAACATTTGAAAATCAAAATTGATCTGCGTGTAGCACATATTAACCCGTAGAGCTACGCACAGATTAACCTGTAGTGATTATATTGAAAGCCTATGGTCTCTTGTCATAGTGGCTCTTTCTTTTTGTAGATTTTGGCTTTACATGAATCATATTTATTTAGGATAGATTGAAAAGATAAAGACTGAACTATTCCAAAGAACTCACAAGTTCCTTTAGCCCCAATAAACCAAATGATACTAAAGGCTCTCTCTCAGGTGCCATTTTTTTTCTCTAGTGTGATTTTTCATTAGTTAAATATCGGCTTAGGTAACAAGTTCCCTAGTCTTTTCTATTTTCAAAATTATTAACCCTCAATGGTGACTGGTTTTTTTTTGCCGACCTTTGTCCTTTCAAATTTCTCTTTGAATATTTTCGGGAAGATGACCTATTTCCCTACCATTACAAAAAGTTTCGACCTCGTCCTAATTGCACACCACAGAAATATAACAACCCGCTTCCACATACGATGAAAGTTCGAAATCCATTTCCTCCTAAACTTTGAAAACCGAACTAATACCAACAAATAGCAATTCAAAGTTGGTTAGTGTTCCCTAAACCTGAACTTAACCAATGACTAACTTATCTAAACAAAAAAGGACCCGATTATGACCTGTTTACAGAATAGAAAACCAATTAAATCAACCTAAACCAAACTCTAACTTTAATCCAAGCTCTTAAAACTTTTTCTTCTCTTCTTGGAATTCCCTCTCTTCTTTCACACGACCAGCAACCATTCTGTGTTCAAGTCTCCCTATCCTAAACGACAATGCTTCAACCTCATCTAACAACGCCTCATAAACCCATTTGTAACTGTGATTATCATTACTCAGGTACAAACACAAAAAATCGATTCACCCACACATTTTGAACAATCACATTAATATAGACGAACTAAACCTTTTATCTGCCGCAAAAGCACAACGAAAATATCTCCTATAAGAATTTTCCTTCGAATTCGACATAAAGGGGATACATAATTCTCCATATCAACATATCAACATATCTTTGGAAGACCAACAACACGACTCTTGCTCGAGTGCTAGAGACTCCACTTCAATTTCCAGATTCAAGACTCATACTTTCTGGGTCTGAGAAACGAAATCTCTCTCTGATTTTTTTTTTCTGATTGTAGGGTTCTAAAGGCATGACCTCGATTTTGTGTGTTTTGAAGGGTTTCAGGTCGGGTTTAAATCTATCCATAGTCGGATATTTATCTGGATCAAGCTGTACCAATATGAACTGGTTTACTATCGGTTCATGTAATAAACCATTAAAACAAGCCAAATCTTGGTATGTGTGGAAACGAGTTTCGAACTTTCATCGTATGTGGAAGCAGATTGTTATAATTTTGTGGTGTGCAATTAGGACGAGATCAAAACTTTGTCTACATTTATTACTATGTCATAGTTCTGGTGTGGAAATAGGTCATCTTCCCAATATTTTCGGAACTCTAACTTTTTTATCGTCCTTCCCAAACTTCCTTTTTATTACCATCACCTTTTTTTTTCTCTAACTCATAATCAACTTTCATTAACCAAATGGGGAGGGGGGATACATGGTTCTATCCACAAAATTATTCAACCACTTTTACATACAAAATACTTCAGTATCACCAAGGATCACTAGGATGGATCCGACGCTACCAAATCATTGATATTTTGATCCTCGGTTCATGGACATTTCTTTCTGTAGTATCTGGAATCCACAAATATTGTCTCATCTTGTCTAATTTCATTATATAGATAGTACAGAAATATCTACTTTTCTTATTCTAAGATATATATAAATCTTAGGAAAATTTATATATTCACAAATTTACTGGGGATTTTTTTAGGTCTTAATCATATAAATGAAATTCTTCATTTTACTCCTTAATTTATGTTCTTTATTAATCGAAGAGGTTCATCCAAACCCTGGCGAACAAGCCAAATTCAAGAGAAATTATAACAATGAGGAAAGACAACCAAATAATAAAAATGAAATCATTATTTTGTAGCTTTAAATTGACAAGGTAAGCTTCACTTAGGTCTGTTTTTCGTAGATGCTCAAATCTGCATGTGTTTTCTTATAGCGTTGGCTGAGGTATGTTGAACATTTGATGACTGGATATCTATTCAAGAAAAAAATCATAAACATCTTTAAGACAGTTTTACCTATCGACGTTGTTTGTTTAACAAGGCTAAAGACTTAATGCCCTTTTTTAAAAAAAAAACAAAAAAACTTAAGACTTACTTGGGAGGATTGTTTTCAGACATGCAAGTAGGAAGGCACTCCACCAAACAGTCATGATTCGGTTCTACGAAGAACGCAATCTGCAAATGATAAACAAAATTGATGCAATACTAAAATTATATATGGTAAGTATATTTCCTACTAGCATCCATTTTTTATTGATAGAAATCCCCTATATATTATTTGAGAATCATTTAAAAAGTTGTAACCTTAAGTTTGTAAGAATTAAAAATAACCCTAATCCTATGTGGCATAGCTCTTTGGCTTCTATTTCAAATCCCAAGGATTCTAGAGCATGTGATATAATGTATAGTCTAAAAATTGTATTCTCTAGCAATATAATATTTCGTAGACTATAGTTGCGCATATATCAAATATTTATTATTTCGCATGCTTTCCTTAAATAAAATCTACGGAATTACGTAATGTGATTAAAATATATATGACAATTAATGATTTTAAACAATAAAGATTTGATAACAATCTGTATACTTTTTCTCATTTTGTTTATTTATTTATTATTAAAATAAATTACAAAATTACATTAATCATATATAAAAATCTAGATTTTTTTTTGTGTATGTTGTATTTCGAATTTTTGAAAATGAGTTTAAATTACTAAGACTGTTAAAAGTCTCACATAAACTTTTAGAATCAAGGTTTTAATTTTTTCTATATTGAAATATAATGATTATAAGACCATATGAAGAAATAATTTTAGTTTATATATATATTTCATATCGTTTTAATTAAACTATAAATCGTATGAAAATACATACTTATATTTTGATATTTGTCTTCAACATATATTGGAAAGTTAATATTTTAATTTTGAAATATGTCATTGTTTTTTTTTAAATGATTATAAATTATTGAAACTACTAAACATCTCACATTAAAAAAATCATTGGTGTAAATTTTTGTTACGCAAATATGCAAATAATCATAAAATCATATGAGTAGAAACCTCATTAATAAATATCAATATTAAAAGTGTGCCATATTACTATGTTTATATCATTTAAATTTAATTATATATCATATACAAAATATAAGATTGATTATTTTGATTTATTTACGCTAATTGCGAATAAACAAGAGTGATAGTTAGATTTATATGCATACGTCAATTTATTACATAATAGTGACTGATTTCTTAGTTATGTAATATATATATTTATTATTTTATTATTTATGATATGCAGAATATTATAAAATAAATTATAAATATAAAATACTTATTGTGCATAAACTGTAGATCTTAACCTAAGTATGTATTTTTTTAATTATTTAAAATCTTAGGTATCTTCTAAATCCCAGGTCAAAACAAATAAAAGAAATGAGAATAAACTCCAAAATCATTATTTATATTGAGTAATAAGCAAAATATAAAAAAACACAACAAGAGAAAAAATTGAAGATAAATCAGATTAACACGTGAACGTAAACTTCTCATAACCATAATTAATTTTTAAATTGTTAAATCATGATATAAAATTGAGGTAATTTTTAATTTGTTAATTTTATTTTTTTTTTAAATTTTTTAAATCATTATAGTTATGTTAAATCATGACCATAATTAATTTTAAATTCTTTATTTATATTTGAAAAACTTAAAATATTGTTTTTAAAAATAATTTAAAATTCAACTTAATTTTTTTTAAAAATTATTTAAAAATAATAATTTGTAAAAAATATAGTTTTCTAATATTATTATACAAATAAATAAATTATATTAAATTAGTTTTGAAACTTTATATATTTTAAATGCAATTATTTTACCAACTGTTTCTTAAAAAAACATTAGGAAATTTGCTAATACTCTACCAATCAAGCCCAATGAAACTCTGTTTATTTTACATCACTCGAACACTAAAAAGTGAAAAGATATATGAAATCGGGTCCATTAAATTATAAGATTTGATCTACAGTTCTAAGTACAATTGTTTATGATCCTACGTATTGATAATTATTTAAATTTCCAAAATTCTAAAATTTCAAATACATAAAAAAAGTTTATATGTAAATTTTAAATTTATAAATACTAAAATTTTATATTTTAATTACGTATATTCACCCTGCGCAAGGTGCAGGTCTTATCCTAGTTTAGTATATATAGTAGAAAATAAATTAATAAATTTTCGCTGGTCCCAACTTGAACCAATTCAAATTTTTTGATAAAAAAATAAAATAATAATTAAAAAAATCTGTAAATATATGGTCTATTAAAATTATAAATTAATAATTTATATACGTATATATATTTTCTGTAAGTAAGAACTTATCATTATCTTGTTTGTTTATATCACAATGGAGTCATCTTTATATTTTCTTAACATTTAATATATTTTTAATAAGATTTAGTAACATTTAAATTCAATGCAATATATATTATATACCCCAAATAATATAATAAAATTAATATAGATGTCAAATTTAAAAAATAATAATTAATCTATACACTAACATCAAATATTTTTTTTATCTTATAATGAATATATTTTAAAATAAAAAATCTAAATAAAAGAATTTCAAAGTTCTAATATTATTAATTTATAAAGATTTTAATGTACTTTTAATGATATAAAAACACACCATTTATATGATCACTATAAATTTATGTAATAATATCATTTTTCAAGGTGATATAAACTAATTTAAATTAGATTAATTAAATTAATGTCAAAATAGATAATATTACACACATATTAATAAATTATTTAATTTTACATATTTTCAAGATAAAAACACAATTACATATACACCTAACCACTTTTCAACTAATAGAAAAATATAATATCATATAAATCTAATAAATTTTGTCTCGAAACTCTAAAACGACACTTATTTTGAAATAATTTTTTTTTTCTAGAACGACAACTAATTCAAAATGGAGGGATTATTAGTTATCATCATTGATTGTGCACAAAAAAGTTATCATCATTGATATTATATACTTATATTATTTATAAATGACTAAAAAAATTATGTGAACTAATTTTTATACTACATTTTGAAGTATACAATACATCTCTTTACGTAGTCAGTGTACAAAAATAGACTCAAGTGCGGATCAGTAACGAACTTACCGAAAATCGTTCCTGACCATTTCCAAGAACTCGATGCAGCAAGGATCTGTATGGTATAAAAGCATGTCAGAAAAATGCTTTCAAAAAACTTTACCTGAAATCACATCGCAGATGAGATAAAGAGATTTTTAACCAATATAAATTTCAACCATAGTTTTTTTTGCTAAAATATGGTATTTCAACCAAAGTTAAGTGAAGCATTATGAATTATAAAGACTGGGAAAAGTAATTTAGAAAGTTACTTGAAAAAGCCATTGCTCCAACGCTCCATCATATCACCAAGATTCACCATAAATGCTCTGTACGCGAAAGCAAACAAAATACGTGATAGGTGCTATAGAGATAAAAAATAATGAACAACTAAACAGGAATTTGTTATGCGAGTCCGTTACACATTTAAAATTCCTTAGTAACCAAATACCCTTTAATTGATGGTACATATTCCCACTTCTGAGGCTTCATAGTCTCATCTCTGCATATCTGTCAAGAAAATATTTTCCGACAACTGACTCGGCCGCATCAAAAGAACTGTGGTTCTAAAATTATGCGATCAATACCTGAAGTCCCATTACACTATCCGTTGCTAATAGAGTCATCATTCCATAATCAGTATGTGCTCCACATGCATATATTCCCTTTGATGGATCAGACTTCCCTAAAACGTAACAAAACTATGAATATAGGGCGAGTGATTCTAGTCTTTGACATAAAAAAAGTTTAAACAATTAGTTAGTTCACCTTCATAGTGAAGCAAGCGCAAATTTGCAATAGGCTTTCCAAGCATCTCCGGCGTATCAAAGTAATCCGCATCCAAGTTTAGCGCCACAGCCAATATTCTTGCAATAGCCTTACAAACCTTCCTGTCGACTCAGCATAATATACCACTGTTTGAATCCTTCCATGTAACTTGTCTCTATAGAACTTTTCAAATTTATATACAAAATTCAAAAGATCGTTATTCAACTAAAATTGTCCAAACAAGATTAACAGTCTTGCCTAAGACTTATTTGTAATTTTTCTTATGAAGCTTTGGCCTTGTGAATTTGTGCTACACTATCACGTAAGTAGCCTTAGCACTTAATCGAAAGCAGTCTCTTGGTTTCTAGAAGTTGTGGTTCACTTGCCACTTTACTTCAATGCTTGTGGAAATTGTTTTTGTCTTGAGTAATTTGAGGATGGCTGTCTGATTGGTACATCTACTTAAAAACGAGAAGAAAATAAACAGCAGGATCTAAAAAAGGATAACAAAACTTGAGACTTACAATGCTTCTTGGTGATAATTCTCCATGGTCTCTCGCCACCCGGGCAAAACATCTACAAAAAAAGTCAAAGTTCTTTTTGGTCTTAAAAAAAAGTCAAATTTTGTTCGGAGAAACTGAGGGGGAAATGACCAAAGTTACTAAAATTTATGTTTTTGAAAAGAAAGTTCTTCCTATTTAAAATTTAATAAAACTAGATGTTCTTAATTTATAATTGGCAAACTAGAATCCATTAATCCTCTTTGTAGTGACAATAAGAACTGGGCCTAGAATCCTCTCTCGGAACTCTATACATCTTGAAAGCTATAAGTTTTGCTTTGGAAGCCAAGTATTAGCATCTGTCAAAACTCAAAGTCAAAGCTTTGCTCCTAAACATTATCTTCTCTCTTCTGTAGGACCGCAAAAAAATCCTTAAAATATCAAAGGGTACAAAATCGATTGGGAACGATTTAGAAACAATTCCGTGAAAAAATAAAATAAAATAAAACAGAAACGATTAAACAAATCGTTAAAGAAACAACCAACAAATCGTTAACTTAGTATTAAAAATAAGTTAAGTGTATATTATAAAAAAATTAAGATAAAAGAGAAAGTAATTGGAAATGAAGGAGAGAAAGTAAAGATGGCCAATCCGGAGCTGACACTTGGCAGAAGAACACACCAAGAACATATCTTCGGGAAGAGCAGTTCTTCTAATCGAAGAACACATTCCAATTTTTTGTTATTTTTTTAATACTAAGAACACATCAAATGTTCTCCCTTTGAACATGGCCTAATAATTCATAATATGTGACAGTTTTGTGGGATTTTTGAATATAATATGTAAATTTATATCTACGATATAATCTCGCGACGATAAAATTCTTAAGGGATCTTGTTGGAAATTTTGTTTTGCATTCAGACATTTTTTTTGGGTAGAGTGTTTAGATTTAGAGGTGTCATGGATCAAAAGGTCAACCTAATTCATAACTCAAATGAGTTATTAATGGGTCATGGATCAACTCAACCCGTTTAATAAATATGTTGGTTTTACTTATGACCTATTAAATTATATTGGTCAGATGAGTTAATGGTTGATCCATCAACACAATATTTTTGTCCAAATAAAAAATAGACCATTTTAAATAAGTTTTTCGCGGAGCCCAATTAATATAAATAATGTTAAACATGATTGTAGATGGCGGGAAAACATGATTTTGCGATTTTACCAGGAAAATATTGTGATTGTGGGGATAAATGATTAAGCGGCTTTGGAGGAAAAACATGATTTAACTAATTTGCGGGAAAAAGTGATTTTGGTAGAAAAATATGATTTTGCGGTTTTGGCGAAAAGACATAGTTTTACGGTTATGGCGAAAAACGTGGTTTTGCGATTTTGGCGGGAAAATATGATTTTGCGGTTTTGGTGGGAAAACGTGATTTTGCGGTTTTGGTAGAAAAACGTGATTTTGTTGTTTTGGCGGGAAAACGTGATGGATCAGTCCAATTGGACAACTTTAATTTGGAGTAATGGGTTTATTTTTAATTATTTGATTTTAATTAGAAATTAAATGGGTGATAGTCGATCCAACCCAATAGATCAATTAACTTGTTAACTCATTAACTTATTAACCTATTAACATGTTAATTCATTAATCCACTGGATCAAAAATAAACAGTTCATTTAGGTTAATGAGTCAATTTGAGTTGGGTCAACCTATGGATCGTGACTCATTTTGACACCCTAAGAATGTTTTATAAGATTTAATTAATAAAGATATTATGTTCATATTTATAGGAAAGATTAGCTTGATCACCAAGTTCGCCTTTTCTTAAAAACCCAAATGTATTAATTCAACATTTTATCCAGTCCATTGTCTTTGCAAAATATGGTCCAATAACTTTTATTTCTCTCAAACTCGACCACCACTTGATCTTTAAAAATGAATGTTGACAAAGAAAAAAAATCTTATTTCTCTTTATATTAATCAATATTTTTGTCAATCTACTGGGCTTATAAAAAGTATAATTTTACTTATTTAACTTTTACTCAGTTCATTAAACTTATAAAAATTATTATAACAGCCCCCATGTGAATATAAATTAATCTGAACATATACATATATACTATGCAAACTCGACTGAATTTAGTGACTTGACTGCACAATAGACTAGAAAAAATAGATTGAACAATAGGCTAGACAGATTTACTTTTCTGGAGTAAAAGCAAAACCTCATTGTGTATACGGTAGTAGCATATTTTAGCCATGAACCACTTGTTAATATTTGTCGGTTTATTTATCCTGAAGGTGAATATAATGTCTTAAACCACCTGAATGTTTAGGTAAACCGAGACAACATATATAATCTATTTTTATTTTATTGTAGAGCTGTAAGTCTTCTATTGTGTTCTTTGTAGCTTTGAACTTGCCTGGTTTATGAAAAGTGAACTTGGTGATTACTACAAGCACCAGCCTTGAAATTGCATGGTTTATCATAAGTAAACTTGAAATGACAGGTGCTTAACAACATTGTGGCCATGAACTTGCATGGTTCATTTTTCGAGAAACGGCCCCAACTCACATTCAATAGGTGGTTGCCACAAGCACATGCATATACACAAAGTATCCTGTAATACTCTATATACATTTATCTGAAGGTTGTGATCTTATCTCATTTAAAACTAATGATTAACCTTAAATACTTACAGGAAGCACGGTTTTATCATCCTGGAACTAGGTAATTTTCAGTTCTTTGTCTCAATTTTGCTTGATTTAGTCTTTTCTTTTGACCCAACATCTTGGGATCTCAAGTCATTTGGTGGGCTTTACATCAAGCATCTTCTTTAGTCATAGGCAGTAAAATCATTCTCTTTGATGATTTGAATATTTGATCTCGTGATAAACCTTTGGTAAGCGGGTATGTAAGGTTATTAGCTAACTTAATATAATTCACAAACATTACTCTGTTTAAAATCTTGTGTCTAATTTTTTATGCAATTTTATGATGTGACGAGATTTCCCATTATAGAGAGTATTTAATGTCTGGGCTATGGTCAACTGACTATCACAATGTATGCGTAGTTCCGTGACTGTTTTTTTCTACATTAGAATGTCTTTCAAATTTTTTTGGAGCCATTCGACTTCTTCTGATGATTTTCGTAAGCATTGAACTCATTTTCCAAGGTTGATCTGACCCATAATTATTGTGTATAATATTTCCAAGATATTGACACACCTCCAACAATAAAAAAACATATCCATTTGTGAATTTCGAGTTCTTTGAGTATGATATCCAGTCTAAATCAATGCATCCTTCCAAAACCATTGATTCTTTACCCTAGTGTAACCCATTACATTTGGTAAATAATTTAGTACCTTTGTTATGTCTTTCTAGTGTGTATAACATAGATTACTTGTATATCGACTTAGTATGTTTACTGTATGCACTAAATTAGGTATCTTACAATTAATTAAGTACATTAAACTTCTGATTACCCGTGCATATTTTACATGAGACCCTTGTTCTCCTCTGTTCTTTGACAGTGCAGTTGAGTGGCTTCATGAGTTTTCCCAGTTCCACTAGAGTATTTGTTAAACCGCTCAAATATCTTTTCAACATAATGATATTGAGATAGAATTATCCCGTCATGTCTTTGTGATCTTAATGACAGGTATAACATATGCAGACAAATCGTTATAGTGGTACAAAACGTTTAGAAAAATCGTTAAGGAAATATAAAAAAAAGACGCAAAATCAACATTTTTGATCTCTTTTCTTAATTTAATAACTTAATTCAATAAATCGTGTATAATGTGTGACGGTTGTGTATAACTGCATTGAGACTGTTTCGAAATACGTAAAACAGAATCTGCAAACTTAATGTACGATATATCCCTGAGACAATAAAAAAATCTAAAGAGATTTTTGTTGGAAATTTTTGTTTGCGTTAAAGCGTTTCTGTTGTTGTGTTGAGTGTGAACCAAATCCTATTTTAGGACTGATAGTAAACATTATTTAGGCCACTCGTGGGCATGATCAGAACTACGCTCTGATATCATGTTATGTTTTATGAATTTCCAATCTAAAATCAACTGTGAATGATTTTAGATACCATGTAAGTCTCTTGTATACTATGTAAGTTCATCTCAATTTTTCTGATGTGAGAATTCTAACATAACACAGGAATCTGTTATTGGAACAAGGGTATGAATCTTTTTTATGACTAACCAGGACTAGGCCAACGGTTGGGGCCATTGAAAGGCTCATCCCATTGAGGATCATCTTCAGAAACTTCCTTTCCAATATAATAACCTTCTTTGTGATCCCCTAGAACCCAAAAAATTATGAATAAACAAAAAATTGTGATTAAAAGTATGAAAGCTGGTAATACAAACCATGGACTTGATTCTCAGGATCTAAGATTTCATCAAGGACAGGTGTGTAGCCTCTATGCTTATCGGTTCTCAAGACTGTCATCTTCTCCTCCAAAGAAAGAGCGAAGAATTTCTTGCTCTGCTCAAAAGCCTCGTCCTTCAACGCTTCACTTATACCGTGATTAATGACATAAAAAAACCCACAATCCAGACACGCCTGAAACAGGAATTGTGGCAAGAAAATCGTTTTATAAAGGGCTTAAAAAGCGATCACACGTAATCACACAATGAACGATAAAATACTAGCAAAACATTCTGTTTATTAAGAAAAAGAACAGCATTTATAGAGGATTTCTTCATTTTAGTCTGTAACTCAGTACTTCTCCCCACTAGTTTTTCTTTTTGTTTTCTGTGACGTCGTTAAAAGTTGATCAATGCATTAGCACTGTTTTTCAAAAACATGAAAACTGATTACTATAATGCATGAAAAAAAAGTGTCAACATGAAAATTAGTAGATCATTTCATCACGGATATGAACTTTGTATAATTTCATTGTGTTGATAAATGATTTGTACCCCGTCGCCATTTAGGGCTAACAACATTTTGATAAATATAATTTGAGGTTTAGTTCGTACAATAAAACTTCTATAAATTGATATTCGATAAATTAATAATCTCTATAAATTAATAAATTATTGGTCCCAATTTGGGCCGATTCAAAGTTTGACACAAATGGATAAAATAATAAGATAATATTTTTTTAAAAAATCTATGTAAATATATGGTCCCATTAAAATTATAAATTAAACATTATATGTATACATATTTTATATAAATAAGAATATATCATTATATTGTTTGTTTTATATTCATAATGGAATTCTATTTATATTTTCTTAACACTTATTATATTTTTGATGAGATTTGGTAGTATTATGTCTAAATACATATTTAGATTATATGCAATATATATTATATACACAAAATAATATAATAAAATTGATATAAATGTTAAATTTTAAAAAATAATAATTAATGTTTATACACTAAAATCAAATATTTTTCTTATTTTAGAAAAAAAGATTTTGAAGTAAAAAAATCTAAATAAATAAAATTTTGTAAAGTAATATCTCTATAAATTAATAAAATTTTAAAGTCCCAATATTACTAATTTATAGAGGTTTTACTGTATATGTTAGGGCATCTCCATCTCCGCTCTATAATTTACTCTATTTTTTTTTAAAATGTGTGGAAAATAGAGTGATGAAAAAAAATAAAATACTACTTCATAAATGGAAAAATGACTTTATTTTTTGTTTATTACTCCATTTTCCACTTCACTTTTAAAGAAAATAGAATAAATTATAGAGTAGGGATGAAAATGATCTTAGGCCTTAAACTTTAATATAAAATTTGCTTGTTTCTATGTCAAAAAAAAGTTTGCATGTTTCTCTGGGAATCTTCCAAAATTGAATGAAGACAGACCTGCTTGAGCAAAAGAGCTGATTGGTGAATATCAGAGCTTGCGAGATCGATGCAATGAAGGGGTGAAACTTGGATGGTTGAGTCTTCCTTCTGACTTTCATTCTCCATCTCGCTCCCTTACTAGCTATTTTGAATTTTTGAGGACCCAGAAGAAAGAGAGTAAGCTGTTTCCTTTGTTGGTTACTTTGTTTCTCAAGATGCCATATATACGCCATGTATATTACACATCGTATTATATTATTATATTAAAAACACTAAGGTTTTGCTGTCCCCTTGGAGCAGTGGTGATAATATAAATATTAATAAACTAGATTAAAATCTGCGCAATACAAAGAATAAACATTATACAGTGCGGGAAGAATATTATATACAAATTATTTTTATTATCCCTTATATCTATTTTATTAAAATAGAAGTATAAAATAATACTCCCTATTTTAAGTGATTTTTACAGATTTTCATTCCATATTTAATTAATTATAATCACTTCATTTATCATTTTTTTTCTAAATAATCACATCATTTATTGTCTTTACTAAATAATCACTTCATTTACTGTAATCACTTTATTTATTCTCTCACCTAAATATAAAGTCCGTATGAATGCGGTTTTGATGTATGAAAATTTTAAAATATCCTACAAACTAATTTATCCGAAACATTTTCGGATATTTGTACCAAAAATACACATATTAACCGATTTGATTCGAGTATTTTGAATCTAAACTAAAAATAACCAAATAAATGAAAAATAATCATATTTCCTGATTTGATTCGGATTCAATTCTGATGTATAAAACTTAGAAATATTCAATTAATTATACTATAGCATATATAACATATAATTTAAATTATGAAAAGAAAATATTAATTTAAAAAAATGTAAAACTTAATACCCGCACGGGCGTGCAGGTCAATCTCTACTCTTTACTATTAAAATTAAAGTATAATTTTGAACTAAACCTTTATTTTCTTTCTAATTACAAACGAATGCCACTAAACTATATTAAATATTAAATAATTTAATTACCTACATTATCTTGAAGAGATCCTTAGAAGATTTGAACAAATAATATGCAGTAAATAGCCAAATATCAATATATTCTACATTTTAAGTTACTTTTTTGTCAAACATTTAAATTACCTAATATATTCTTATATATGATTTTAATTAAATAGTCTTTTTTTTTCAATTTGTGAATGCTTACATATGATTTGAATTAAATAGTCTCTTTCTCAATTTATACATGTGATACATACGAAGAATTTTTTCTCTACTTGGACTTGCATTTTACTTAAAAACAAAAAAAAAAGATTATGGATAGTTGGGTTTTATTTATATTTATAACAAAATTTAATTATAATAGTTAACTGTGCAAACTCAGTTAACTAAATTCAAACAAAAGAACAACACATACAAAAATTAGTTTTTCTAATATGGAAATAGCTTTGAAATTATATAGTATACCATATATTATATTATTAAACTTTATTTTACACATTCCAAAATAAGTTTCACTTTTAATTCTTAAATCAAAAATATTTTTATAATTCTAATAAAACATAAAATAAAGCTTCTAATAAATTATTTATCATCTAACTTTAAATTGGAAGAAAAAATTGAATATATCACATATTAAAAGTTTCTTAAAGATCACATATTATGAATATGAATTTGAAAAATAATTATATATAAAAATTTAAATTTGAAAATAAATATAGTATTATTAAAAAATTTCAACCATAAATAAATTTGGAATTAAAAACACGGATCAAAATGGTTTTTATTTTAAATTGAAATGTATAAACAATGTAATTTCGCTGTTAAAACGCGGATTACCGTTCACCACGATAATCCATTTCTAAAAATACTCGGTTTAGATATATAGTAGGAGAAACTCATTTTTATTTTGAAAATTGATAATCCATATCAAAATTGCATAATAGTACTGAAAATGTTTTTATAATAAAAATGCATATCATCTTTTGTATTTTTATATTAGATTATACAAAAAAAAATCTCGTGCTTTGCGAACGCGGGTCAAAATCTAGTATTACATAAGGAGCATTACAATCTTTGAGTGTAGCCACATGTCATCATTAGGAAAATTCTCAAAATTCTTAGAAATATATATATATATATATATATATATATATATATATATTACTCCATCTATATATATAATATACTTTTATTAAATTAAATAGCAAATTGATTAGTATTGCATGAAAGAATACTCTTCATTATTTCCTTAAATAAAAACTATGGATATACCTAATATAATTACCATATATATGAAAATTAATGATTTACATAATAAAGATTGGATAATAGTTTTTGTATCCTCCATCATTTATTAAAAAATTAACAAACACATTAACCATATAATAGAAAATTATATTTGTTTCTTATATTTTATATTCTGAATTTTTGAAAATGATTAAAATTACTAAAACTGTTAAAACTTTACAAGTAAATTTTTTGTTTTATCTTGTTTGTTATAAAAATACAAATGATCATAAAATCATATGAATATGAAGTATCAGTTATAGATATTCAGATTAAATATATATATATATATATATATATATATATATTAGTATCAGTTAAATTAAACTATATACCATATAAAAGTACATAAATATGTTAATTAGAAAATTTGTATTGAATTTTTTAAAACGATTATAAATTACTAAAACTATTAAAAACCTCACACTGAAATTTTGTGATTAGTGGTTTAAAGTTTTTTGTTGCAGAGAATATATATATGTTAATAAATTCATATGAGTAGGGAGTAGGAAGTTTCAATTAGATATTCATATTGAAATATATTATATATCTATGTAAATATCATTTAAATTTATTTACATACAATATAAAATAAATGAAATGATTTCTTTGATTTATTGTGTTACAAAAAAAAAATTCTTTGGTTTATTTGCTTACTCTAGTTTAATTATGGGGTTTTGCAAATATGACTCAGAACAAAAATTCAAATGCAAAAATAACACATGTTTTTTTGGAATTTTGTTTTTGGCTTATTCACATTAGGAGTTCAGATAATTCATGAAATACCATTATTTAATTTTATTTTATTTTGAAAATTCTTAGTTTACTCTGCCATACTCATCTTCTTCTTTTATTTACATTATTGTCTATGTCAATTAAACACCAACCACCATAAATAACCAATTTGAAGTTCTAAATACACCTAAAATAAACATCTACACCTTCAGTTTCTTATTTTTTACACACACAAACTTTTTCCTTTCACGCTCTCACTTATTTCATCCCAAAATCCAAAATTTTTGATTTCAAAATTGGTAAGCTTATTAGAGTTACTCAAGTTCATGATTCTTGGTCAAGAACGATTGGTTCACTTTCATTAAAAGTTATTTGTGGATGTAGAAGCTTAACATTAACCTTATCGGATCTAAGAATGATCTTTGTATTTCTTAAGATCTATTTCACGAAGAAGACCTTTTTGGAAGTCTTCTATATGGAGAAGACTTCTATGGAAGTTTTCTGGTCAATACATAGGTTACTTTTGCAAATAATTTTCTGTATGTTTTTAAAGAATACGTCTCTGGAAGTCTTCCAACTTTTTTATGTTAACAAAAAAAAACAAGTAAACTTCCCCAAAGATGTTCTTGGATCAACATGTTAATTTTGCAATTGGCCGAATTGTGTCAGAAATTTGACTTTCTATAGAAGACTTCCAGAGAAGTTTTTCGACGAAAGACTTCCCCTGGAAGTCTTCTCAACTGTTACATGAAGTTTGCTCATTTTCGGTGGAAAATTGCGTAGGTTAACTTTGCAATTTACGATTAAAAGTAAAACACATAATTTGATTAGAAGATTTTCAGGGAAGTCTTCCGCCAGAAAACTTCTGTGGAAGTCTTCTCTAGTTTTATTATGGGATTATGTTCAAACCTTTGGTTATTGAAGAAGACTTTGACAAAAGTCATCTCTGAAAAGTCAAATAGGGTTAATTGCAAAATTAACCTATCCAAACTTCCACCGATAGTGAAAATACTTCATTGTAACAATTAAGAAGACTTCCAAGAAGTCTTTTGGTAGAAGAATTTTAGGTCTTCTAAGAAAAGTGAAATTTATGAAATAATTAGGCCAATTGCAAAACTAACTTGTTAATCCGAGAAGACTTCCATTGGATTAAAAAGTTTTGGTATTTTCGAGAAGTTTTCTCTGGTATTTTTGAGAAGTTTTGAAATATAAAAGTAAGCCAATATTTACAAAGGAGACTTCCAAAAAGTCTGCTGTAGAGTAGACTTCTCTAAAAGTCTTTCTTTGTAAATTTTTAATTGTAAAAATGACTTAAATGAAAGATTTCCAACGAAGTCTACTTCAAGAAGATTTCCGAAGAAGTCTTCTTTCATGGAGTCTTACGAGGTGAAGATAATTACATGTGATTCTTACGAGGTGAAGATAATAATCTAGGTCAGATCAACGGCAAAATTTCGCCTTTCGTAGTTGTATAATTTTGCGACTACTTCTTAGGTTGAAGGTTGCAAAGTTAGGCGAGTTGAAGTGGTCAAACATACTTTAGACCTTTTCTTCTCCTTTATTAAATGAAAGCTTCCCTCATTCTCACAACTTGTTCTTCTTTCAAAAGTTTTTGTAAGGAAAAGAAACTCATTTGATCTCTCTCCTACTTTTGAATTTTGTTCCAATGTCTTAGGGTAATTCAAACAACATGAACATAATATTTTTGGGGGTTACGTCTTGTGTGAGTTACGAGTCCGAAAGTTTCTCAAATTTCTGCTTCAAGCTACGTTGATGGAGCTGGTGGAAACGAGTGTGTTTATGATGATGTAATCATAAAGGCCAAGCATACTGGCCCTGGAGAGACCACAAATTATTAGGATATGAGGACTTTCATTGCGAGACCACCTCCCTTTTTCAGATCTCAAGGAACCCATGGGTAGGCCTTTTGATCCCAAGGGGTTTTACTCAGATTTCTGAAGATAGACTAGCGGCTCACATGCGTCTCTACAATGTACCTAAGGAGGTTAACTTCAGAAGCTCGACAATAAGAAAGATAGGTTCTTAAAGTCTAACCTCACTAAGTAATCCAATTATTCACCTTTTTTTTTGCAGATAGAGGTGCATGAGTAGAGTTCAGAGTGACACTGATATCTCATGTTTTTAAAGGTTTAAGTACCTTATGTTAGTTCATATTGATTACTTAGGATA